TACATAATAGCATGTTTGAGAGTTGAGAGTAAACCAGAGAACCCGGAATGAGCACAGGTAGAACGTGTGAACCTCCACACAGATAGTATCCTGAGCTCACAATTGAACCAGGGAGACAATGTGAGGTGGCAAAAAAACAAAAACAAAAAAAAAAAGGTAAGTGGATAATTTCCAGTGGGATTTTGGTGGCTTTAGATCACTTTTTTTTGCAGAAAGATTGTTGACAGTGAGAGTGTAATAGTTGTATTACCTATATCATGTTGCTGTAGATGGTACTTCATCAATGCCATTGATATCCTTGTCTTTTCTGTTCCTTGTAGATGTAGCAGTAGTTCTGTTCCAGCACAGCCACAGGAGTATATTTAGAATAGAATATAGTTAAAAATAATTGAAATTGATGTATAACAATCTACAAATTATTTACATTGGTCATATATATATAATATTGTGTGCTTGCCATAATAGTTAATTAGGGTTTTGCCACAAAGATATCTTGATTAAATTACCAAGTGAAATCAAGTATGGATCATCATAATTAGTGATAACTGGAGGGCAAACAGTATATTACAATATAACACTGTAATGGGTGCTTTCATAGGCATTAGGTTCCTACATCAAATTCTGATAGGCAAATATTGAGCTCTCCTCCAGTAACAGTAACATTTTCTGACAGTGACCTGGCATAAATGTGCTACACTTAACATGCTCTTCATTAGAAACCCGTACATAGAATCTATACTTAACAGCATGTTTATTAGATACACATACAGCTGGCTTTTGTCATGCTAACATTTTTAGCCAACCTTTCTCCTATGCATCACTGACCACTGGATCACTGCTGACCAGATATTTTTTAGCTGGCAGACTGCTGACATGGCAGTGGCATGGCAGTGGGTGTTTCTATGTTATGAGTGTTTCAAGCACAACAGTGTTGCATATGTTGAGTTTGTGTATGTGTAAAATCAAGTTTAATTATCATCTAAAAGGTTAAGAACATATTCTACTTTTCAACGCACTCTTGCTGGATCTATACTTAGTGTTTTATGAACAAAATAATTAAAGTCAGTAAACAAACATTTTTAACATGCATTTTTAACATATATTTTTAATATACCTGTCTCTGAGTTTCTTAAGATTGAAAAGTTAATGCCTTTTTCTATGGAGATTATAGGGATATAGCAGGTATATTGATATTGATATAGAGTACTGTGCAAATTTTTTTTTATTAAGAAAAAAAGTTTTAGATATTTCTATTATGTACTCTGCATTACTGTCTCACTATAAGAGTTTAATGTTACTAAACTAATGTAAAATTAAATGTAGACAGTTTAAGATGGTGCTTGACAAAAGACAAGTCTATAGATGATCTACCTAACATTTGTTCATTTCTCCTCAGTTTTGTAATGGTCAGGGTCACAGTGGATCTGGGGCCTTTCCTGGGAACACTGGGTGTGAGAAGGGAACACACCCTGGATGGGACTAAATGACAGAACCATCCAAATGAAATCTAAAGATTATCTATTAAACATCACCAACCATAATATGTTGACTGTTTGTTGATAAGATCAGTCATGTTTTTGACAGTCATTATAGTTTGTAAAGTCTGTAAAATGGACTATCCAAATAAGGTATTAATAAGAATAAAAATAAATGATTAATGTTTGTTGTTAAAAAATTACATTTAGTAATAGACCACTTTTCATTGAGGGTATGACTTTCAGAAACAGAAGCAAATGTGACAGCCAATGACTTCAAAAATGTTTGCAAGAAGCCAATTTTCTTATAAAACTGCACAATCTAAGAAAATGGATACAGTTTTAAAGGCAAAGATGATCACACCTATATTATTATTATTATTATTATTATTATTATTATTATTATTTACTGTAACTGTTCACTTACAAAATTTTTGTAAATCATTTTTATTGACATTAACAGACATAACGGAATATTTAGATAAAAAATATTAAGGTTTGAATGACAAAAAGCAAACTCCAAACTGAATATTTTTCATATGCGGTACCATTTTACGTCTACACTGTGCCATGTACCACCTTCTTATATTCAGAGTTATTTATCTTCAGATTGTCAGACTGATTACTTTCTCACAGGTCAGCCCATAATAGACTGGCCTCCTACATAAAGGTAAGGGACAATCTATTGCCTTACAACCCTCCACATCCACATGGGTGTCAGAATCCAATCTCTTAAGTAACAGAACCTCCATGATACAAAAGGTCATCCAGGGAAACATTTCCTTCTCCAACTCCCCATAATCTGAAAGGATATATACATTTAGATTTACATTTAGCAAATGGCAGATGATAATTTGGAACAATAATTTCTAAATATATCAGAAATGTAAATGATTACCAATGTCATATCATTGTACTGGAAATACTGTATACTAAGTTCTTGGTCACATTATCCTTTAAACTGTGGGCACATTTTCCTTACAGGAGAGCACATCAAATTAACACAAAATATTGGCTTTATTTTACTAATTAACATATCAAAATAGCAAATTAAAAGCAACATTAACACATCACACACACACACACACCCACACACACATACACACACACCACCCCAGATTAATCATAACCTGATCCTTAATACAAGGAACATTTCCTGCATTAATATTAATTGAAAAATATTAAATTGAATTAATTACTTTTAAACATCTGATTATTAGTTATTTTATTATTATTACAAGACACTGTTAGGAAATGATTGTACGTCATTACTTTAAAATGCATTTTGAAAATCTGAAAAATTCGGAACATGCTGATGAATAAATCCATTTAATTAGTGAGGGGTTAGATGCTGCAGGTCATCACAGGATATTTTCACATGCTTGAGGTACCTCATAAATATACATTTTAAGAATGTAAGATCAATATGCAACCTCTAACATTGAGGTTTCTGTATGATCATTAATATTTTAGACAGAATTAGCATGTCTGTTGTGCCTTGAGACCAAGTGTTTACTTACTATTAATATATGCAAATTAATGTTTTGTTTATTGAACTCCATGATCTGCAATATCTGAATAACAAAATAATCAAAGAGAAAATGGCAAAAGGGGAAAAGTCTGTTAGACTTATTATTGACCACTAATCACTAAATTATGACTGAAAAAAGGAAATAAATGCAATAAGTGAAACTGGGGAAGCTAAAAACGGACCCTAAAGCAAGAATGGTCATGGTTTATATTTCTCTGTAAAGAATGCCATGTGAGGACAATCAAAATGCCTCAGCACCTTTAGATTAGACACAGCTCATTGTGTGAGCTACTACAGACACTTCCATCCAGCTGCCACAAGAAGCAGAAAGTCTGTAAAGAAGAAAGAAGAAGAAATTAACATTTGAGGATATAAGCAATGCAGTATGGTGAAGGGGTATTTCTGGTAATTGACCATGAGTCAGGCAGAATGGATGACTCAGAATTGGAGGAGGAGGAGGAGGATCCTCCTTACACTCTGGTTGTGTTTTAGTGTAAATAATTACACACCAATATTGGTATTGGTTGCACTTTTGCATTGCAAATGATAATAAGCCATGTCAGGGCCTGCTTGTGGAGAACAAGGATTATGCACTTTTTGACAGATTCTCCAGCTAGTTTCAGTTAATTCTCAGACCATCTGTCCCTTCAGCCAGTGTCTCTCAAATATCTGCCAGTTCTATGTTGAAAAATGAAGGTATCAAATTGAAAAAAACTAATCAGGAGCTGGAATACTTCTAATAGAAACACTGCAATAATTAATGTTCATAGATAATGTTCATAGATTTTACACTGGACGTTGACTATGTACAGAATTCCTTCTGGCATTCATTCATCAGGCTCATGCCCTACTGGTTGATGATTGGCTTGCAGCCACTTGGGAGATTCTTATAATGCAAAAGACACTACTATCAGAAACAAACATGTATGCACATTTGCCATGTCAGAGACCATAAAGAACAAACAGTGTTGTCACAGCGAGGCTCCCAAATTCCAGCTGTGAAACAGAGTGTACCTGTCTACAAGGCTACTGAAACTTCGCAGTTCTCATAAGTTCTCATAATAGTGGGCCATTTAAAATCTATAAACAAATAGTCGAAATGTCTTACCTAGAGGCAGTACATAAAATAGACCCACGCAGCTGGATATTGAAAAATCCTGATCACATATGGTATTGTCCTTATTGTGTATGGTTTAATCGTTTCTGCTCTCTGTCCATAAATTTGCTTACTGTGCAGTGTTGGAACTACTGTACAATACACTTATTTGTGTAGTCTTTTTTAATCCTCTAGAGAGTCACATCTATTTCTTAATGAATTACTAAAACTGGTACATCAGTTTATCAATTTATCAGAATCAGTTTATTAGGGCAGTATGTTCATTAACATGTTACTGGAAAATTACTGTTGCAATCCTTTTTAAAATGGTGTAGCTCTGCAATTTTTTTTTTGTCTTTGTGCACAGTCACAGCCCAGGTTTGGTTCATTAAATTCATTACTTCATCTTCAGTAACCACTTTATCCTGCTCAGGGTTGTAGTGGACCCAGAGCCTATCCTGGGAATCACAGGTCTCTATGAACACACACACACACACACACCTACTGGAGCAATAAGCACCATGTTTCATTAAAGTTCATAACATTTTTTTTTGAGTAATTTTTTTGAGTAATTTTTTTGGGGGGCAGTTGTGGCCTAATGGTTAGCGAGTTAGACTTATAACCTGAAGGTTGTGGGTTCAAGTCTCAGGTCCAGCAGGGATTGTGGGGGGAGTGAATGACCAGTGCTTTCCTCCACCCTCAACTGAGGTGAAACCCTTGGTGAGGCACTGAACCCCCAACTGCTTCCTGGGTGCCACAGCAAGAAAGGCTGCCCTCTGCTCTGTGTGTGTGTGCGCACTTGGATGGGTTAAATGCGGAGCACAAATTCTGAGTAAGGGTCAGCATACTTGGCCATACTTCACTTTAGCATTTTAGCATTTTATCATCTGGGTTCTGTGTCTGGCTAGCTCAGCTGGTAGAACGTGGAACTCTTGCTCTCAGGATCATGGGTTTGATCCCCATGCTGAGTGCCAACCACAGCCACTGGGGGTGCACAGGCTAGTGTACACTCAGTACCGGTCCTAAACACAGATAAAAGGTGAGGGTAACGTCAGGAAGAGCATCAAGTGTAAAACCTGTGCTGAATCAATATGTGGACAATGGAAGGTGATCAGCAGTGGTGACCCTTAACAGGAGAAGCCAAAAGAACAACTTATGGGTTCCATTATTATAAAACAAAAGATATTAGTCTTTTAATAATAATAATAATAATAATATAATATAATATAATATAATATAATATAATATAATATAATATAATATAATATAATATAATATAATATAATCTATATATATGTGGGTGAAAACTGTGTTGGTGAAGTGGTTAGTGGGTTAGATTAGTTTCCCATTATGTATTGAAACATTTTATCTATTTTAAGCTGTCTAATAATACATTATATTCATAGATTATTAAAAAAAAGAGCATAGACCATGTTTTGTTAAAAGGTGTTTGTGTTGTTTATGTAATAATATTCTGAGTGCCAGAATGGATAAATAAACTTTTATTCAGAATGTGGCAATGCTGTTATAATCAAACTCTCAATACATATCCAAATGTAATTTGTGTTGGCAAAGTAAGTGACAGCCAAAATATCAAAATATAGCAAAATATATTTTACTATTTTCTTATTGTCAATAAAATGATTTGAGAAGTTATCAAATTATTATGCCAATTAAGATAAATTAGAAGCTGCCGAGTTGCTAGCAACCTGATGTATATACAATATGAACATGTAGCGAATAACATTTAAGTATTAAATGGTAATGCAAACAAAAGAAACAATGCACTGGATATGTACACAATGTTAGTAGCATTTATACACAAGAAGGTAATCATAATTATCCACTTTAAATGTAATCATATCTGTTTAGCATTGCAATCACACAGCTCGGGAAACAGAGCTGATTAGCATAAGTTGAATGAGAATTTAGAAGACTATTAAAATTCTTGGTTAGCCTACAACAAAATATAAATTAACCTGTTAAGCTCTGGCTTATCAGTCAAGAAATTCCCTCCCAATTCCCTGTGACAGAAAATATATGACTTCAAATATTGAAAGATTATATATTATATGTGTGATGAAGAGGTTTGCACCTGGTTGTATATTGAACAGAAGAAAACATGTTTACAAATAAAGTTGAAATAAAGTTGGTTTGTCATAGGCATAATTTAAAGCCTTCCAGCAAAACACACACACACACACACACACACACACACACACACACACACACACACACACACACAGAAAGAGAGAGAGAGAGAATTTTAGGATTTAATTTACTTCTTTTGTATTGCAAAAGAAATAATCTGTTTCAGTGTGCTAACCCCCCACCCCATTATAAGGTTTCAAAATGTAATAATAATAAAAAAAAAATAATAATAATAATAATAATAATAATAATAATAATAATCGTTACCATCATCATTATGATCATATTTTTTTATCATGTAACTAAATGGAGGTGTCAGTATAAAGCATTTCTAAAAAAAATTTCCCCCTAGGTGCCCAAGTATGACATCATAACCCACATTGCAGCTTTTGTGGTCTCACAGCAGTATGTGACAAAATAACATGTTTTTATCTGTAACACCCCTTCCCCAAAAAAACAAACAAACAAACAAAACAAACAACTACAAAAAAAAAACACAACTATATTCCTATTATGTTAGAAAATGGCTGTTGATTGAGTACAAGAAAAAAAAAAAACAGAAAAAAAACCATAGAATTGACTCTGATTATAATGCAGAATAACATGCACTGTGTTTAAGAGTGAATAGCCTCTCTGAGGGCAACAACAACAGCTGTGGTAGTACTAGGCTCTCAATGAGATATGACAGGTTTTGGCTAATGAAAAGGAGTACTGTGGACTCTTTCCAAATATCCCTAGTTTGAGATAAACAAATTTCTCCTTGAGAGATAAGCTATGATAATTATACAGATTAATCTTCTGTTACCCATCTGCTCCAAAATCAGTTTGTCACATCCATCTAGGATTGTCCTCTTCCAGCAGTGCCTTTTGCCATCAATGTTATTCCCCACCTTCAGGGCTTGGTAGGGTGTCTTTGTAGATCTCAAAGAAAGAAAAGTCTCTCACCCAACTGAAAGTAGGATTGACATTTCAACTGCTGGACAGCCTAAAGGGGAAGCTTGTGTGGTCCTGGGAGCCCTGGTGCTATTCTTCCTGCCCCAGACCCATGCCAAATATCGCACAAGTACAAGGCTGAACTCACATCAGTTCATCAATATGTAATTGACTGGCACTGTTACAGGTCCCATTTGAGTGCAGTATCTGGGCAGTGAGCCATACTTCCAGCAGTGACTGGGCAAACAGTGCCAACTGGAGAGCTTTGTGTAAAAAGAAACTTTTGCCTTTCATTTGCATTATGGCAGGAGCAGCATTTGCTATATAATTCAGTTTAAATTGCTGGCCCATCGCTGTACTTTGGATTAGACTCACGTGAGAAAATGAAATGTACAGTTTGTTCTTTCAGGGGAAGGAAATGAATATGCTTATTTTATAAAGCATATTCGCTGGTTCTTTAAGGCCCCACTTTACATTTGCCTTGCCATTTTATTATTATTATTTATTTATTATTATTATTATTTTTTTAGTAAGTCATCCACACACTGGGTTAACAACTGATGTGTAACAAGAAACAGACATTACTGTAAAATACATTTTAAAAAACATTTGACTGAAACAAACAAACAAACAAACAAACAAAAAAACAAACTAAACTGTACTAAATTATACAGTTTGATTGTGGAACATAAGTAACAACGTTGTAAATGTGAGCTATGTAAGAATAAACATGCTAAACCATGCCTATGAAATCGGGCTTAAAATTGATTACTCTGTAAATACAATTAAATATCTACATTTCTACTGTATTTACATACAGATACAAATCAATATGTTGGGTGCAAAGAAATATTAAATTGAGACAAATAATAGAGAAGTAGAAAAATAGGGAAAAATTATTTTGTATACTGAAAGGATGAAGGTGCTGATTGAATGTTCAAACATTCTAATTTTGATCTAATTTTGACATTTTCTAACGTGAATTTTTGAAAACTCCAGATTTCCTAACCTGAAATATGTTTCTTTTTTTTGCACATCTGAACCAGAAGTAAAGTTAAAGTATTTTAAAATCTATTTGTATTTAAAGATTATTAGCATACTAATTCCACTGAAAGACACCAAAACACCAGTTGACACTGTCTAAAACACTGTCTAAAATCTGTTTAAAAGCATCTACTATTTATTGAGTTTGCATTTAATTTAATGTGTAATACCTACAATAGACAAATTCTAATAATGATCTTGAAAACTATGCCTATCTTTAATTCAGCCTTTATTTAGCCTACAGACTGACAGGCTATTCAGATGTCCCACCCATCTAATAATCATTTAAATATTTTAAAACTTTGTCATCACCATCACCAGCTATTTTGACATTGACTATTTTGACAATCTGATTAGAAACTGAACTCATTACACATATCTCCACTTTGCTCTGAGACATAATTGTCCAACAAATGGATTATAGCTTGACATTCAGTGTATGAGGAAATCATATTTAACTAGCAATTTTAGACTTCTTTAAGCAGAGCTTTATGCAGGTAGTTAGAATGTATTTTTTTAGATTGTAAAAAGAAATGCTGTGGTATAAGAGGATTAACTAATTTTTGGGACATGCAAAGATGGTAAAATAATCCTAGTGATTTCACATTAAGAAATATCACACCACCCTGGCGTTCATTATGTTCCTATTACAACATGGCCCATCAATGTGTTATTCCTTACTCAGTCTATAACATTTGTACATTATTTCATAACTGACCCATCGAATTCTATATTCACTCTTTTATTGGAAACACATCACAACGTATTTTCAGAAGAGCACATTTGTGAATATTATTCAGTAGTTAATACACAGTCTTCTTAGAGAGGTATCATGGGCCTTGGACCAAAACGCAACTCCTAGTTGAAGGTGAAACTATAATTAGCTCCATAACCCATATAAATATTGTATACTGTTCAATGTATTCAATGTATACTACCCTGGAGTGCTGCTGATTGATGCACCAATACCTTATGTTATATATATATATATAAAACAAACAAACAAAAAAAACAACACTAAATTAGTTAGCACAAAAGTATCTGAAATGTTAAAGATATCGCCTGAAATGCAGAGTTCTGGGGCTCTCATATATTATTATTATTATTATTATTATTATTATTATTATTATTATATAGCAAAACCAAAATGTTAATCAAATATCACACTAATGAACAATTCATTAGCTTCCACAACAATGCCAGAGGTACACTAACTTTTAAATTAGAGGTAGATGGATGTGTGAAGTGTACTCATTTCTCAGACAAAAACTTAACATCTAATCATACAAGATTCATTATGTCTATTAGACAGACTGATCAGAAGAATAACAGCATAAGCTGAATGCCAATTCTATTTAGCTGCTGCCTAATGGCCAGATAATACAGTTAATCAGATGTATTTAAATCAGATGTCCAGAGAGAAGTGCCAGTGAACATCAGAGTAAGTTGGATATTTAACAAGTCAGCCTTTATTGTCAAGAAACATCCTCTATAAGTTATGCAATTGTTTTGGACGAGTAGAACATTAAGTAAATAGCTGGGCCCTTAACAGTGACAGATGACACCATGTGACATATTTTATCTTTCTGTGATAAAACTACTGATGACTCACTGTCATAATATAGAGTCAAGCTCTTATTAGAGTAAGTCCATCACTTGGATTGAGGGCTGAAGTATGACTCTTGGCTGCTTGTTAATGCACACGAGTCCAACTAAAAAATATCCGGGAAAAGGACAAAGTCATCTGCTATGCTTCAATAGGTGTGCAGTACTCATAATAAAGGCCATGATAAAAAACACTATCATGATTCCCTCTGGAAAGGTGCTCTGTGTTTCTGACTCA